AAAAAAAAAAAACCCCTATTCCTTCGTCAGTGAAAATAGTTCTCAAGTGCTGAAGCGGTCACACCAGAAAATTGCCTTTAAAAAGGTAGCAAACCCCTCGGTCCTAACCCCTCTTCCCTCTGTGAATTTCTTGTTCAGTGGAACTATAAAACCTTCGGCCTTACATTTCCAGGTGCACACTTTTCTCGTCCTGTAAACAAGTGAATATTGCAATAGGCCACCAATAACTCATTAATCTTGTGTTATTAGATTAAATCCCCAGGCATTAAACAACACCTCCCTTCATTCGTCTGTTTGCTGTTCCCCCATCCGGGTTTTGATTAGTGCCATATATCTTCTCTGGATTCAGGTAGGCAACTTCAGCGGTGATGTGAAATGTATTGCGTGTTAAAGATGATAAGAAGAGAGAGATTAGACATTATATGTGTATAGGCGAGTATATCAGGAGCGACTATATTTTAGTGGGCGAGTAGATCTGCCGAGCTATGTCGGTGGGGTGGGGCGACTGCAGGACAGAAGGCCGGCCCCAGACTACTCGGAGTTGGAAGCAGGGACCAAAGGCAATATATAAACCCGTGTTTCTACATGTAAAGCTGAGCAATAGGCTACGTACAGTAGCATGCTCAGCTCCTTGATGACTCATTGGCAAGTAGCCCCGCGTGTGTGCCAAACATTCTCTAGCAGCTTTAGAGGAGACAGGCTTTATTGTCTTTTTTTTTTTTAATTATCACCACCCGAGCTGTTCAGTACAATCATTTAAACCGGTGCCAAAAATAATCTTATGTACAAAATATATATCCGCTATGAAATATATTCAATAAATACAAAGAGGGACAAAATTAATATAATTTACCTTTTCCCAGTACGAATATTTGATTTGTTTTAAAGACGTGCGACCATCTCACATCAAAAAGAGCTTTGTCTGAAACTTACCCGCCAGAGACTCATGGATCACACACACCCCCACCGCCCATACCGGAGGGAGAGGGTCCCGGATTACAAAAAGAGAAAAGCATCCCTCTCTAAACCTGCCGCGTTCCTAGCGCCCCCTACCTGCTCCGGCTCTAGCAGGAGCCCTAGAAAGTGCACAGCCAGGGGTTTGACCCCCAGTATGTTTTAAGGCAAAGCTGATTTCAGAAAGTCCCTCCAAAGATCATTCTCCTCCTGGGGCCGCGGGCGGTGCGTGTCCATGGTTTGACCATCTGTGCGTCGTTTTGTGTTTGCAGCTGCAAACTAGTCCAGGGGCAGAAAAGGGGGAGCGGGAGTCCCCAGGACACAGCGGTGGCCTCAGACAAACTCGGGGAAGGCGTGAGGGCTGGGTCGGAGACAGGCCAGGGTGTCCGCAGCCTGGTAAGCGCCCCCGTCCTCCAGGGAGTCAGTGGGGCTCAGGCTGCCCGCCTGCGAGCCCGGAGAGTACAGCGAGTCCCACTCACAGGGCGAGAGGCTGCCGGGACTGGCCAGCTCCACTGGCTGCCGGAAGGGTTCCCTGCCCGGCTCCGGCTGCCCCACGCCCAGCAGGCTGTGGTCTGCCATGCGCAGGGTCTCGGTCAGCGCCCAGATGTAGTTGTGGGCGAAGCGCAGCGTCTCGATCTTGGTGAGCTTGGCGTCGTCGGGGAAGGTGGGCAGCACGCTGCGCAGCGCGTCCAGGGCGGAGTTGAGGTTGTGCATGCGGTTCCGCTCCCGGTCGTTGGCTTTCATCCTGCGGCTCCTCTTCTGCCTGCTCAGCACCACCTCGCTTTTGGCCTTCGTGCGGCCCCGTCTGGCCTTCTGCTTCTTCGGCGGGCACTGCCTGGAGTCCGGGGAGGGGAACCTCCCGGGTCCCGCTCCGGCAGGGCAGCCCCCTGCCTGCAGCCGGCTCCGGGGAGGGCTGGGCGAGGCAGACAGGCTACCCGTGCCCAGGGAGGAAGGGGAGGCTTCACCAGCAGGCGCGCCGTAGTACCGCTCGCCTGTGCTGGACGCCGGGGCGCCGGGAGAGCAGTCGGTCTTGGGCGACATCCTGCAGGGAAACCCAACGCACAGGGACCCGTCAGTTTCCATCCCGCGCCTGGCGCGCTGCCCCACAGCATCTGCTCACATGGACCCGCGGGGCTGAGCCCGCGTCTAATTCTGGGCAACCAGGCAGCGTCCCCGGCGACTCCTGGGTCTGCAGCTGCGGGCGCCGGGGGCGCCCAGGTCCCTTTAAAACACAGATATCGATCCGAGTGCGCAAGGAAGCTCTGGGCGAAGGGGGCGCTTACCTGGATCCCCCGGGGATGAGGCTGGCGCGGAGGGAGACGCCCTGGTGCAAGAGCCGGGCCAAAGGGGTCCCTTGTCTTCTGACCCCGTGGGGACGCGGAGCAGTCTTCGCTCAAGTGCAGGGGAGTGGAGGCTTCGCGTCAGGCACACGACTGCCTTTGAGCGCCTATATATGCAGGCCTGAGACAATGGGGATTTCCGATCAATGCAGCGTGTGCCCCCTTGGCACGCTTTATCTTATCGGCCCGGTCCGGAGCGTGCCTGGCTCATTGCTGCCCGCCGCCGGCCAATCAGAGCGGCGGCCTGGGGCAGAGCCACGCGAGTCCCTCTAGCTGCTCCCGCACAGGCCGGCGGGGGGAGGAGGAGCAGGAAGAAGGGAGGCTCCAGCCCCATTCTGCCTCGGCAATAGGCCTGGACGGGTCATTGCCGCAGCGCTCGGGTCAGCAGGGAACACGCCCTTCAGCTGGGAAAGGTCCCTTCGCCGCCCCCGCTCCTGCAGGGCGCGGCTCTGAGCGCTCTCTGCGCCGGCAGCCCCGGGAGTCGGTTCGCCTCTCCACCAGCCCGAGGCTAGGGCACCGTGACCCACTTACTAGCGTCCCCAGACGCGGGGCTGCCAGCCCTGCCTGAGCCAACAGAGATCGCCAAAGTAAATCGGCCCCCTCGCTGCGACGCCAGCTTCTCACCAGGGCACACTTCATTCACTTCTTTCCTCCTGAGCCAAGGGGCCCAGGGGCACCCTGAGCCCTGCAATCCAAGCTAAGTCCTAGCAGCCCCTGATCCCCTCTATAAACCCCGACAGGCACTCAGAGCTACACAGGAAGGGCGCAAAATTCTTAAGCGCACTTGATCCCTTGCTCTCAGGTTTGGCAGGGGGGCAAAACAGCTCTTGCTGGGATCAACACGTACCGAGAATTGGGCATCTATATGACCCTTTGGCGCAGCCCAGTCACGAGGAGGTTGGGGGGGAAGAAATGGTGGGAGGACCAACAAACAACACCCTCGCCGCTTCTTTTCTTCAGTAAATGGCTTTGGAAACTCTTTACATCGTACAGGCCGGCCTAATTTTAAGGATGGTGAAACGTGATAGATGCTCACAGTTACTTAAGCAATAGCTTATACTATACACGTAAGTCCCAAAAGAATAAGCGGCTTCATGATTTGTTTTAGGACCAAGCACAAACCCTAGCGGCTCCCACAGATGAATACTTGAAACTGGCTCCTTTTTTAAAATATGGACTCATACGAAATATTGAGTTTCCACCACAAAATACAGGAAGACAAAAATGCCATGAGAAAAATAACAGTGGCCTTTGCCTCGCCATGCCAGACCTGCGTGGTAGCTCTTGTTCTTCATTGCCAAGCGTTCCTGACAAGTGCATCCTCCAAGCTGACATCAGCCTTCTTCAGTGCCTTGACCCACCTTTCTCTAGATCTGGCTGGTGGCCTTTTTCCCCTGACTATCAGCCCTTGTACTCTCTGGCCAGCACGACCCCCGCCAGGCATCTCCCATGACCCAGCCAGTTCAGCGGATACGCTTCAGCTTTTCTGTGATGGGGCCAACCTGCATCATGGCTCGTGCCATTTCACTGCATAGCCCATGGCGTCTCTTCCACCCAGCCTCCGCCTGAGCACGCTCATGTGAGCAGTGTGAAGGAGCCGTGGTCCTCCTCTTCCTCAGTGGCCAGCATTCCGACCCACATCTCCTGGCGGGCCTCAGCATCATTTCCTACACGTGGCTCTTTAGTTTATTTGGCGCGGTCTTATCACAGAGAATTCCCATCAGTTCCTTCCACTGACACCAAAGTGCCCTTTCTGCAGCTCTTAATATCCGTATCATGGGTCAAGAGTGAACAGGGGTATTTACATTGTTTATATTAAAATGACATGCCCCTCTGTCCGTAGATGTTAGAAAATGTAGGTGCCATATTTGCCAAATACATCAAGGAGCCCCAACACGGAGAAAACAGGCAAGGAGAGACTTCAAAGGAAAGACGTAGCCTGGAGAAGCGAGAATCCCTGTGGTTGCTCACTTGTACTGTCCAGGGAGCGTTGGGAAATATCTCTGTAGCTTAACTGGCACTGACTAGTAAGGATTCGATGCCTCTGTTAAATCTTAATTACTGGCAATAATACTAACAGCTTACATGGAGACAAGGATTCGATGCCTCTGTTACATCTTAATTACTGGCAATAATACTAACAGCTTACATGGAGAGCCAACAAGCTAAACAGCCTTAGACTCGCAGGACTATGTGCAGGCTGGGACTCCCCCACAGTACTGGACGGCAGCCATCTCTGGGGTGAAAGGGGGAAAGCCCTTAACACCCTACAGCAACACTGCGCATCCCCTGAGGACAGGCCATGGATACCGCCCACTGTGACTTACTAGTCCCCTCTCAGCTGGTGACCCTGCAGGAGGGAGGGCCAACGGTTACAGGGGCTCTTTGCCAGGCTTTGGAGGAGAACAGGCGCATCCGGAGGCGAACTGAAGCAAGCGCTTTGTGTGTAGCTCGCGGGCCGGCTAGGGGAGCGAGACTGCCGCGATCACCAAGCACCGCACTTCCCGTGACTTCTATACAGACTGGCCCGCGCTGTCACACGGAGGGGTTCAAAGACTCCCTCACCTGGGCACTCTGATTGGGCAGTTTCACTTCTAGATGCCAAAGACGGCCGCGTGTGCCAGAGCAGCTGCGGGAAAGGTTCCCAATATCTCTGCCTCAGTAGAAGACATCCCTGCTCTAGGGGGGGAGGCTGCTCCAGAGGGTGTTTGTGGGAGGTTACTGCCGGTTAGCTTTTCTTCCCTTCTCGGACAAAAATAGGGCCATGCGGTTCTTCTTGCTCTTTTGGGATAGATCCTGTGCCTACTGAAATCTATAGGGAAGCTCTCAGTGGCCTAGCCTACAAGATCGCACCCTATATGTAGCCCACGCTTTGTTCCTCAAGAAATGCACGTTAGTAACGGGATGCCCTGGGTATACAGCTATACGCCCGGAGAGAGCCATACCTCTCTCATGCAGGCTGCTTCTGTGAGACATCTACCAGGTCTAGGTAGGCTTCTCGTTTGGGACATCCGACTTCCTATATGTCCCCCTTCCATTAAGGGGGGGGGCTTCCTCATGTAGGGCTCCCACTCCGATATATTCAGCTTTCTAGCAAATCCATATGAACCCATCAGTTGGCTGGACTAAGGCTCAAGACACATAGAGTGGTCCAGCAAGACAGCCAGTGTACGGGCACCCAGAAAATTCTGCAAGTGTTCCCATGCTTGCTTCTAATTGGTTCCATGTGTGTAGATGCATCACTGGCATCCAACACAGTCCCTTGTGTACTCACTTTCTCTTTGTTGACCCCAGCACAAGGAGTCTAAGAAGCCTACTACGCAGGGCAGAGAAGAGAATGGTTTCGTTCCCTGTTCCTAAGCCTGTGGAAAGGCGCAATGTGATTAGCTTTGGCCAAGATAGAGCTCTACTTCCTAACTACCTCCCGTTCACATCCCCTTGCCCACGGGGCACTTGGCCCACTATGTTGACCTCCTAAAGCACATTCCTCCGTGGTCCCTTTGGCCTCCTTTCCCAACTCCCCACTGAAGAAGAGGCAAGGACGGAAGCCACCTGTGAACTTCATCATCATCTCCTTGTGCAGCAGACTGCAAAGCAGGGAGAATCTTCCGAAATGTGCTCTCCTACTCCCCATAAAGAAAAGCGAGATAGGGAGGCCTCTCCCTGGCCATTCCACATCCCCAAAGAAAAGCTCTGTATCTATCGCTAAGCTCTTTTCTAGGCCCCAACGTGTGATACTGCAGCTCCAGGACTCAAAGCACCATCTTTCAAATTTGTCTCTGCCCTTCAGCACCCATCCCCTCATTTAATATATAATGCGAACCAGGAAAAAGTAAATCAACGCCTGTATCTAGCTTGAATGAGCCACTGGTTCAGCAAGTCTGAGCATCCCTAGATGGGTGAGAGCCTAACCGTATATAGAGCGGAGAGCACAACAAACGCTCGGGACTAGAATGCTAGGCAGGCTTCTAAAAATTAGGAAGGAGCCCGAAGGAAGAGACAGCAGACAGGATTTGTGCAGTGATGATGGAAACCCAGGAGTGGCATTTAGACATTAACCCAGTAGTGGGACGATTTGGTTTTCTCTGCATTGTAGAAGGCTGGCGTTCCAGACTGTGCATGAGAAAAAAATATCCCCCATTAAGATGAGCATAAAGTTTTCCCCTGGAGACTCAGCTGCACTAATCAAATAGCTCGTGTCTAGCTTTTGGGGAACCCAGTGAACAGGAGCGCTGCCGGGGGGCGTGCTCCCTGCAAGCGGTCCGGGAGAAGTGAGGAGGCGTCCGGTGAGCACAGCTGCACGTTTGCTTTCCCACGGAGGAAGTGGATGGAACTTCTTCCCGCACATGCAGGGAATGGTTTGGAGCCTGGCTGAGGCCAGAATCCCCGGGGAAAGGCGATGTCACCAATTTTGAGACCTGAACTCTTTTTCCTTTGCAGAACTCGCGCAGCACCAAGGAACAGGAGCAGTCACTGCTGTGCGCAAAACGTGCCCAGGGTTTTTGCGCAATAGCTATACTGGTCAGCGGGAATTATCTCTGCGGGGGGCACATTTAGTTCCCCGAGGTTTCGATTTGAAAGGCTATGACATTTCTAACTGTCCTGAAGCCACTTATCGACCAGAGAGGGGAAGAGACAAGAGTGCTTGTAAAGCACACACGGTGTGGTTTGGAAGCCTTTAAAAGTTCACTCTCCTTCACCAAAACACTTCTGACATCGCTCCAGTATGGCCGTGGGGATTCGAGCTGGGAGTTGTAACGGATATCTATGTGTAAAGCGGTGGTGCTGAAACAGCTCCTTCTCTAGGGCTGGAAATGTGTCCCTGGCCCCTTACTGCTTTCCCCCGTCAGCAGGGATCTGTGGGCTCCCCCCAACCCAGGCACATGGCGCCCCTTTGCGCACTGCCGTCTCCAGAAGCGCAGGAAAGAGGCAGGGTTAACATGAGCCTCCCAAAGGCATGTGCATCTGGTGAGTGTCTGTGAGTCCTTTAAAAAGGGAGGCTGCTTGGGGTCTGAAAGCCTTGTTCGTTCATTTTTCAGGGGGGACTGGGAGGGGGCACTTTTCTTGCCTCTCGAATTTTGTGTGCCCTTTTAGATTTGCAACAAGGGGAAAATGAATAGCAAGGCCCTGGCAGATTTTTGTGCTTGTGCAAATGGTTGACAAAAATCT